GAGACATTTCCAATAAAACAAATTATAACTTCTCCGACCTCTCGCCCGCAGATCCAGAAAACTAACCCCTGTTTAAATTAATGGCTATCTCTTAGTGTCTGAGTAGCGGCGTTTGCGTACAGTTGTCAGCACTAAGGATGGTAGGGCTCGAGGGTGGCGCAGAACCCACAAAGCCAGGGACCCAAGTTGTCAACAAGGTACTGTTCAAGCTAGTGGTCACTCGATAATGCCGTGGGCTGTTTTTTTTACATAGAATGAACAAATGAACCGACTTAACTGGAAATGATCATTAACTGGTTCTGTTAAGCTACTTGGAGACAATTTTCAGCCATTCAAGGACTTCATGTTCCGAAACAACGATGATTTTTTATGAATGACAATGCGTCATGTCACCGGGACCCGATGTCTTTACGATTGGTTTGAAGGTCATTCTGGACAATTCGAGCTAATGATTTGGTCACCCAGCTCGCCCGACATGAATACCATTGAACATTTATTGGACACAATCGAGAGTTCTGTCCACTAACTCCTGCACCGGTAAAACGTTCGCCATTATGGACGGCGGACAGAATAGAATAGCATTATTCATTCTGCAGGAGACTTCCAACGGCTTGTTGCGTTCATGCCACGTCGAGTGGTTGCACTTTACCGGGAAAAAGGAGGTCTGAGACACAATTAGGAGTCCCATTACTTTTGTCACCTCGGCCTGTTGTACTTCAGGTCTTCAGAGAGAAAATCTGAAGTGTGAACATTGCTAATAATGTATTCAGTTATCAATATGTCTTGTTTAGGACAAATGTAGTTAATCTCGTACTACCTCCTCGCCTCCTCACACGTCACATATGGCCACCGTACCTGGTTTTTTGCTTGCCTACTATGTGTTGGAAAGTTACATGAATTTTGTTTTTTACTGTGTATTGGCTATCATCGTTGATGGCTTATGAAAGTGTGTCAAGCGTTAATTTGGGTGCTCTAGTTTGTTTTTAAATTCGATAATATTTGTATATTTTATATTTATGTAATTATGTTGGGGTGGTAGGGCAAACAAGAATCACACTCTCAACGATTTAATATATTAGTGTTACTTATATAGTTTTCCGTTTATAACTTGTTTTTCTGGTATTGCTAACAGTGCTTTAAAGCTGTACTAAATTTATTAGCATTGTTAATTTTATGGCTCCTATATGCTCATAGGTTTTGTTTATCTGTGAGTGAAAGAATGTGTGTCTGTCTACAAACCTTCCCTTCTAGGGTTTTGAGACAAACAGAATTTCAGGAAATTTCAATGTATTTACTTCAAAATCAAATTGACAGGTTCAAACATAAATTTGCGTACGTGGCAATCATTGATAAATTGTCGTACATAAATATTTAAATTCAACTAACGAATTAAAATTAATATGTTCAAAACAGAATGGCAATTATAAAAAAGTTATTGTACATCAATGTTCAAATTCTACTAACAAATTCTGGCAGTCATGAGTATATTGTTTTATGTAAATATAACTACTCAAGTAACGAACTAACAAATTCAAATCAATATGTTTAAACAAACTTGCACTAATGTTAAGTATGAATAAATTGTTTTACATAAATGTTTAAATTCAACTGATAAATTCAAATTAACATGTTCGAATAAATTTGCTCTCGTAATAATCATGAATACGTTTTTCATGAGCAAGTTCAAATAAACATGTTCAAACACTAACTTTACTGGGGCATGTCGACAAGGCGATCATAAATTTTTAATTGTTCTAAACTTCTTGTAAATAAGGGGGTCAATTTCCTATTAACAAAACAGTTTCTTGGGACTTGAAATTGACACCCCGGATGTTAAGGAAGCTTTTGAAAGGCATTTCTTCACACGCAAGAAATGTTTCCACTGAAAAAAATTAAATTAAATTAAAAAAAAAAACATGTGGCCACCTCACTCACCACAAATTTCCATACAACCATTCCCAACACCACAACACACCCATTTATAAAAATCTGTAATAAAACAAATGAATAAACCATGACATGATTGTAAGTCCTTCATATACAGCAATTATATTGACATCTTGATATAGTAGAGCATGGGCCAATTGCACCTACATTTGGAAAGGGCTATAAAATAATTTCAAAACAGACACATTAAACAACATATTGAGACGAAGCTCCTATGAGAATGCACGCCACAATTTCCATCACGTGCGTGGCTAGTCTGCCCACTCCTAAACAGCGCCTTTCTGCAATGCGGCAGCCACCCCTCTGTGTAGCATCACAGACATCGAGCCGTCGGACGGTCAGGGAGTCGTGGAATTTGGAGCTTGCCTGACTGGTCAGATGAGATGACGAGGCAGCTCCTCCGCTACGGCGAGTGGTGGCGAGCCATACGGTGGAAATTTGTCGTGAGTGAGGTGGCCATATTCCCTGACAACGCCTCATGTTTTTTTTTTTAATTTTATTTATTTATTTATTTTTTCAGTGGAAACATTTCTTGCGTGTGAAGAAATGCCTTTCAAAAGCTTCCTAACATCCGGGGTGTCAATTTCAAGTCCCAAGAAACTGTTTTGTTAATAGGAAATTGACCGCCTTATTTACAAGAAGTTTAGAACAATTTAACTATGATCGCCATGTCGACATGCCCCAGTAAAGTTAGTGTTTGAACATGTGTGGGTGTGGATTTCTTTTCAGGTCTCAGGTGAATTGTACTGTAGAACTTTGTTAACCCGAATCATCTGAGGCAGGGGAGTATCCGAGTTAACGGAAATCCGGGATATCCAGAGAATGAGGGGAAAACCACGAGAATAGAACATGGACTTATAAAACGTATTTTTAACAGAGTTTAAAAATAATTATTATTGACATGCTTTCATCTAAAACTCATTGTAATATTTATTTACATTGGACACAATACACATCAGTACAAACTAGTCCAGGCTGTTCCAACTCAGCTGGGCGGACACGCGGGTGTCCGCGAGCCACCGCGGGCGCAGATTGCTGTAATCACTCGCTGCTCGGCGCCTGACGAAAAGTAGCCCTTGGGGCGAGAGTTGGCCTTGGCCTTTGGCGACAATTCGTCGCTGATAGCTGAAGCAGGGAGCGGTAAGGTTGAGGAGTGCAGGGCACACCGGGGCTCCTACTCGGGAAGAAACTTCCCTAATGTTTAACAGGAAATGTACAATTCGATTCAATTCAAAAATATTTTATTAAATTAATTTTAGACGTATATTTTTCTTAACAAGTGAAGTAATATCTGGTATCTGTCCTTGGACTGTCGCTATTCCTAGTACACTCTTCAATGCCTGGTCAAGTAGATTCTTTCTTTGTTTTCTATTATTTTCATTGCAGAGAAAAGCTGCTCACAACAATATGTTGACCCAAACATAGATGCCTGCATATTCTGAAGCTTGAGAAAGACTTCCAAATGATACCACTGCGACAAATTAGGTTATTAAAATATCTGTCTTTTAGAAGTATGGAGTTCTGCAAATTTTTTTTTCTCCAACTGCATCGGCGATAAATAGCATCCGTTGAGACAGAAAAAGGGGTCGTGGCATTTTCTGCCAGCCATCGCACTGATATTGCTTCCACGAAAAACGAAGCAAAAGTGATAAGCTTCCCGATCAGTTGTTGTTTTTTCTTTTTCTTCTTCTTCTTCTTCTTCTTCTTCTTCTTCTTCTTCTTCTTCTTCTTCTTCTTCTTCTTCTTCGCTTCAAAAAGTGGCCCAGGCTAATGAGGTACTGCTGTACTCTCTTTACCCTGGAAGTATATCGCTGGACGAATTTTAATGTTTGGTTCTTACCATTAACCAAAATAATTGTTCCTGTAATTGTAGATATTCCAGTATTTATCGTTCATGGTCTTTTGTCAGTGTGTTTTACAAACGTATTATGAATGAATAAATGAAAGGTCTTTGTCTTACATAATTAAAATTTTCACCCATAAATTTTTTGAGTCCTTGGTTCCCCCTTTTTAATCTGACAATTTTGGGAAAATGTTATTGTATTATTACTAATTGACATGTTCTGTAGGATTACAGTAATTAAACAAATAAGTATCAAATATGCAAAATAAAACTTTGAAATAACCATCTACAAACACCCATTCAAAAAGAAAATTGAACTTCAGACTTCTACAACTAACCAGAAGAAATATGTCATTGCTTAAAAATCCAATCCCTAGTAATGAGTTTAAGAGGGATTGCTGAAATGTGTTTATAAGGACATGAATTGCAGTATTATAATTTTACGTAACTGTTTGTGAGGCAGGGAAGTACATGCTGGGTTATAGCACCATTACTTTCTTTCTTCTTTAATAATCACTTATAGATTGTTCAGTATAAAAGGTTTAAGACTTATTTGCATGAATAGAAAATAATCATATTTTTTTTCATTTATTATTATTCTGTGATGACATTGTATTCCATATGACATCTGCAAAATGCATTTCATTCCTTTAAATTGTCATATGGCAAATATTTTGAAGAATTATGCAATTGTTTCAGTGGCGGAACTTACCATCTCATGAGAAACAGTCATGGGAAGAGAAAGCTGCAAAAGTTAATGAAGAGACTGCTGCGAAACAAGCGGAAGAAATGTGTCCAAGTCCTGCAGCACCTTCCACTCCGAACCCATCTCCTGCAAATAACACTGTGGACATAGTGTATGAATGTTGTTGGGATAATTGTGATTGGCAATTTGAAGATATTTCAGATTGTACTGAGCACTGTGTTAATGAAACTAATGGTCATGTGCAACAATATTTTGCATCTATAAATCAAAGTAAATACAGAAGCCTTCAGAATTATTATCAGAATTCATTAATATTGTAATAGCTTTACAAAGAAGTAATGGAATATAATTGCTTTTCCAGCTTCTGATTCTGAATATCAGTGCCAGTGGAGAGGTTGTATGCGAGTTAAAAAAGGGTCCTCTCCTTTCCCGAACTTGCAGCGCCTTACACGACATGTGAAGGAGTTACACATTCAGAAAGGGAATGGGCGTCACATTACTCCACATGAAAAGACTCGGTATGTTCTATAAACAATTTTTATTGCCTTTGTTATTAAATAGAAAATATTGTCATTTTGCAATATTCTTTTGCAATATCATTTACTTGAAATTTTGAAATTGGAGATCTCTTGGGATCAGTCTCTGAATTTGACTGTAATTAAATTGCAAAAAATAGTGAACCTAAAGATTATAGTACAGTAATTTTGTAATTAAGAAAATATCTTGAGCAGTGATTAAATTATCTATGTAATGTAGATATTATTTTACCTTTTTAGAAGTATGCCAGAATTTCCCATTTCCAAAGTAAGATTTGAGTTTTTTTGAGCAAAGGAGAAAATTTACCTTAAAAAAAAAAAAGATTACCTTCTTTAATAGTTTTCTAGTTCACAGTTATTTCAAATATAAACTTAATTTTCTAAGTAAATTGAATATTTCTTAAAACTTCAGTGCATTTAAGGTTAAAAAATGGGTTTCAAAAACATCATTTAACAACACCATAACCTTGACTGCATTGAAGTTAACAGTGCATCTTGAAAAAGCCTTCAAATGATGTTCGCAAAATTTTAAAAATCCATGCCTTACATATGTATTCCTAAATAATATATTGTGCAAATATGTGTTTGGTCTGTTTAGGAATTATGTGCCAGCACGCAGAGGTGCTGTGTGTTCAACTCGACCTTTAATTACTGTCTCTTCTCAGGGCTTTCAAACAAGTAACAGTGAGTACCAAACAGCATGCTTTCCAAATAGCCATTCATGTTAGTATCCTGTATAAATTAACTTATTGTAATAATCTCTTCCTGTGCAATCCATGCAACCAATTAATAAATCTTATTTAATTTCACAATATACTGCTTGTCAACCTTTGGGGACAATATATTTTTATAAACTTGTTTCATCTAATACTGTTTACAAAAAAACATGTGCAAATATTAGCAAGTATCAATAATCGAAAACGGAACTCTTTCAAAACCTATAAGCAAGAGCCTATAGGTTACATTACATCAACCTAGAACTGTAAATATTACTGGATGTGGGGCCCCCCTTTTTGTGGTTAAGAGTTTAAACTTAAGCAGATCAAAGTGGATGTTTCCTCTGCCAATAGAACAGCACTAGACAAACTCAATGGGATAACTTCACAGTTTGCAAAAGTCCCTTGTGTTCTTTACGCTTCAATACTGTGTGCAATTTGAGCAATTCTTGAATTATATTAACAGGACTTCCTTGTTCATACAATGTATTATATTCTCTATATACCCCTAAAGTACCTAATATTTGTGAGGGAATTAATTGAAACCACTGTGACATGATTAGACTTGCTCTGAAGAAATGAAGGTTCAGTTAAGTGACGTACTGGCTTCCAGCTTCAGTTATCCAGTGCGGCTTCATAGGTATGGTGAAGAATGTTAGGAATATTTCATTTCTATTCTATTTCCAAAAGACAATATGCAGTAAGATTTTGTCATATTAAACATTATCAGTTTCATTTAAAAGCTGTTTTTAAAGAATTTTGCGCAAAAGAGTGTACCAGCATCTCTTAAGTAAGTTGGGGTGGAAACAGATAGGTACCTTTTGGGTCAAAATGGAAGATTGATTCAAATTAACAAACTGTCTTTACACGATTTTAATCGTTCAGACTAAAACGTCTTACAAACACGGGAGCGTAGGCTTCCGCGGCCGGAGTTGGTAGCTACTTGGCTCTCCGGGGCACGCTGCGCCCTTCTGCCTTCCTTCTGAATTTCGCCCTCGCGGGAGGTCGCAGAATGGCGGCCGAAACATTGGCACCTGTGCTTAAGAGGAGTCCCGGAGAGCCATGTAGCTTCTTATAAATATGTTTTAATTTTATTGTTTTGTTATCTTACATGGCATTAATAGCAGAGATTACAAGACGTTGATGTGGGTAGTGTGGGTAGTTTGTGCCAGGTGTACGTCCTGTTTTGTTTTTTTTTCTTTTCTTTTTTTTTCGATTATTTCTGTTACAGCTGTGGCAAAAAGAAATTTCAGCTGTGCCTTATTGATTAACAAGCACTATATTTATACTTTTCTACTACTAACCAAAAGCAAGAGAGTTTGCTGAGCTTGTTTGCTTCGTGTTGTAACCTAGCTGCATGCACCTTACACATGGATAAATATTTCAAGTCCAATTGAGTATTAAGCAAATTTAAGTATAGAGATATTAATTGGAAATTAGTAGTTGCAACTTTAGGTTCTTGGATTTTATCTCAATTATTCAATAGTAACGTCAAATATTCAGTGTCTCTACAATCGCGTTTGTTACCATTTTCATTTGCCAAAATGTTTTAAAAATATTTGTTAGAATCATGTAATTATTTAAAAGTTAATGTATTCTAATAATTTATAAATGTAAAATGTGCAGTATAATAACTATCTCGAGGTTTATACCTCGTTAAAGTCGGGATAGTTACACCATTTAACACCATTTATCAAGAACAGCTGTGCTAATTTTAATTATCAGTGATTTGTTGGATTCATCTCCATCCCAAATAGCTGAATAACTTTTACAATGTCGGAAAATGTTACGAAAAAATAACCAAAACTATGTCAAATGCATACCGCAACACACTGAAAAGAGAGAGAGAGAGAGAGAGAGAGAGACAGAGACAGAGAGAGAGAGAGAGACAGAGAGAGACAGACAGAGAGAGAGCTCTCTCTCTCTCTCTCTCTCTATATATATATATATATATATATATATATATATATATATATATATATATATATATATATAAAAGCTTAATATCAGTGGCGGCTCTGGAATTAGGCATCAGGGAGGACACACAAAGTTACAGGATCAAATCAAATTAGGCATTTGAAATATTGTTATATTTCGATTGTTAAGTCACATTAGTAAATTTTACAATCGAATTTTCTCCCCCAGAATACAGACTAAACATATGATCTATAAATTAAATTGAGTCTTCAGTTTTTACATTCTGTAAATCTATTACTAATTATTTAAAATTAAATGAGTCTTGTAACAAAACTCTTTATAATGAAAACATACAAAGTCCATTCAATCTCTCTTCCGACATGGTATTTCTTAAAAGTGTTTATAATCCTTTCAAAGTGGAAAAAGCTCTCTCGGATCCTTTTATATAGCACATCCAGCTCAGATTTCAGTTTGCTAGCTCACGAACGGAGGGAACTGTGAAACGCGATCAACCCTTTGTAGGGGGAATTTTGCTTGATATTGTTGGAACGTTTTACAATCGATGAGAGAACTCGTGGATAAATTCCCTCTAAAATTAATATGGTCATTTACCCCTTTGAAATTTCCGTGCAAAGAACGATTGCAATTTCTATCAGATTGTAAAATTTTTATATCAGGCCGAGGTGGTCCAATTCTCTTCATGCACAGTCTTGTATCATGACTATATTGACTGTTTTCAGGCATTTTACAGAATTGCAAAACCATTCTCAATGTCAATGCACATTACGAACTGGACGCAAAGATCGGAACACCATTCACATAGTTAGTCTACGGATCGGAAAGAAGATGCCGACCATGCCGATTGCACATTACTGCCTGCACTGAATGCTTGCGAAAAGTTAGATCAGTTAAACAGAATACCAGCAGATAGCACTGGCCTAGACATAAATCAAGCGAAAAGAATATTGTAAGTTTTGTTTGCAGTTTACTTCGGCGTGAGGATGTGCTCGTTCGGTGTAAAAGCTGGTTTTATTGCGTCGTACTTTGTGTGTGTAGGAGTTTCAAAATGGAAAGGGGAAAGAAGCGAGAAAGATGAGAATTTTACACGTGAGGAAACAGACTTGTATCTCTCGTAACAGAGAAGAAAAATATTATTAAATGTATAGGGCCGGTTTCACCAACAGGAATCAAGAAGATGATCCCGAGTTGATCCGGATCAACTTCAGTTTGATCCCGTTGTAACGCTTTCCCTTCCAACGCACTTTGACACGAATCAAGGTACGTGTCTATCGGAATCAATTTGACTCGCGCAATTGGACCGTCGCCGAGCGGTGGGATCACGCCAGATCAGGAGTTATTTCTCGTCTTGTCATCTAGCATTCCAGTTTTTCCGTATTTTTTAAGTAAATACCTGTAAGTTGGACTTATGATTCAGTATGGAAGTATTCGCTACAGAGTAGGATTGCGCGTAATATTTGTTGAGCAAATGTGGTTTTTTTTAGATAGTATTGTAATAAAAGTGGGTTAACACAATTGTAGGTTATAATTCTCGTATTGGCGCAAGTCAAATTAAAATATATTTGGCTTCAAAATTAGTGTAATTATAAGTATCCATTAGTAAAATTAGCACTTTTGGTATATCTTGTATTGCAATTGGCGTGGATAGTTTTATTGAATACTTTTTTTAGTGTTGTAATTCTTTTCAATTTTTGTTCTTGTTAGGTTAATTTGTGTCGTAAAAATGGAGTATTGTTTTCAATGTGCACTGCAATAAATATTATTATTATTATATTATTATTATATTATTATTTTATTATTATCATAATGAAGTCATCTGAAGAAATTTATCTGTGGGCGGAGGACCACCACGAGAAAATTCCCAAAAAAAGCAATTATTTGAATGTCAGAACGAGGCATTTAAAACTTTCTTTGTATTTGCTTCATTAAGCTTTCGATTCCTCTTTCAACATGGAGAGGACATTGGGCGGTATCTATGCATTCTTTCCAACGTCGGATGAATCCATCACGCGAGAAAACACTCACCACACGCAACCAGGAACACCACAGCTCTGGAAACGAAGAAACATCAAAAAGCAACTACAGGCTGACACGCGAGAATACCCACAATGCATTGCAAAATTGTTGCCAACCGCGCATTTTCACGACTGCTCACGAATCATGGGATCCGGATCAATTTCAAAGTCCCAAAACGTTGGTGAAACGCACAGGGATCAAGTGGCCTTGACTCCGCGGATCAGGATCACGAAACTCGGATCAACTACGAATTTGATCCTGGTTGGTGAAACCGGCCCATAGTAAATGGTAAATGGTAAAAATGATCCCGTAGCAAAATACTGCAGAATGAGAAGTCGGTTCATTGGTGATACATCAGAATTGCTAACAAAACACGTAGTATACATTTTATTATTTTGACATAAAATGAATTTAACAGGACCATTAATTTACCAGGACATTACAGAAATATAAGTAGGTATTCACAAATCTTTAATAATCTCTATTATGTTGTCCATCACGGAAATACCACAGTTATTCCTTGAAAATCGTAGCAAGTTCACATACAAATTCTGTTATTTAGGAGCTATCTACCAGATAAACATTTAACAGATTCTCCAAGCACTGGATAGATTTATCAGGCTCTCGTAAAAGTCAAATTTTCAACGTATCAATTAGATAACTTCTGAATAGACTATCAGACGCTTTATCAGGCATCGGTGAAATATGCCGTTGTGGCTGAAGCCTAGTATATGGTAGAACAACTTACGGTAGTCTTTTAAACCGTTATATCGCGCCGCTCCGGTGGCAACTGCGCAGTTTGAATTCTGGAGGCTTTCTTGAAAAGTGTTTTTTTTTATAAAAGCGAATTGGTAATTATGCAGTGGATAGACTCACGAATGTTTGTAGTGAACGCGAGGGCCGAAGGCCCGAGCCTCGCCGTGACTTGGATCCGGGCGAGCGAAGCGAGAAAACTTGCCTTTGAAAGTAAATTGTCATTACAATGCGGCGGGACAGAGTACGATGGGCGAGCCAAGCAATCGTCTATCTATCTGTATGTTTTATTCCTTTCTGTGAGAGCGCGTAACGTAATTTCAGGGAGAGCTTAAGGAGACCCCTCTCTTCCCCCACGCCATGCTTTTCTGAGGGTGTATAGTATACTCTACTTTAACCGATTTAGTATTTGCCAAGTCAAAGAGGATAATTCTATATACATAGGTGCTAAAATCAGTCAATTCATTCATAATACTTCTATTATTATGTGAAGAAAAGGAGGTAGAGAAGGTAGATATTTTAGTGTAAAACACGAAAATTGTCTATTTTTTTCCGAACACATAACAAATTCTTCATATTCACCCCGATTCGTACAAAATGTCCTTGTAACTTGATATTATAATGTTAAGAATAAATCATATCCTTTTATTTTTTATTTACGACATTTCGCGTGTTTGTTACCAGCATTATCAGGTGTTAGTATTAGAGTAAAGTATTAGACATGTTTTCATATGAAATTAAAATTATAAACAAACGTATTTATAGTTATTGAATACAATTTGTTTAAAAATAAATTACAAAAGAAGAAAAGAAAATCATTAAAAATAGTTATGTGAAAAAATATTTACAGTTATAAGCACAAAATATGAAATAGATCTGTGAGTACTTACCAAAACGTGTTTAAACAACTCGCATTTTAATTTGCAGAAGTTATAACAATGTTTTTGAAAAACGGAAATTTCCAATATTTAAATGGAAAAAGTTACCATTATAAAAACAAACATTCTCATTGAATGGAGAGAGACAAGTATGGGCAGACTGAGAGCAGCCTTAACTTGAAAAATAGACATTATTTTGCATCTACAACAGTGTTTTTGTAAATAATTTGGACTTTTGATTCCGATTAGGGATATCAGTCAATCGTTTTTCAGACAGCATCGAAAAGAATATTGAAGTATGTCTCTTGTCAGCTTTTGTCAGGATTAGCAACACTAGTTTTCTTTACGTGATGTGCATGCTTGCTCATACATGTATGTACACTCACGTGTAAGAATAGCAATGTTTCTCTTTCAGTGAGTAATGGTGGCCAGACAATTACAACCCAGCAAACATTTTCACGCCAGACGCCATCACCCTTGTCACAAGTTACTGGAGGTAAGGTTGGTCCCGTAGTTTCCCATTGTTTCCGTTATTTCCCATTCCTAAAGTTGTCTTCAGTCCTGGGAACACATTAATAAAACCAATGGGAAATGTTGCATTTATTCACATGTGACAGATAGGCATTTAGGAATCAATACTAATATTAGACTATGAATGTAATTAAATCTTCGAAATATGAAAATGTTGAGTATTGAAAGCAAAAGTCTCGAAAAAATCCATAATCCTCCTGTTGTGATTGTTGTTTTGGAAATGGGTCAGCTTATCAGTTGATCTTTTAGCACGAGTTAAAAATGCCATATAATTTCACTACACAAATGATATTAACACATCAACCATCAGTTAAAAGTTAGCCACATCAATAAATTGATTTAATAAAGAGCATGGAAGAAATAATTTTTTGTGCGTCATTGCGAAATTGTTTCATTCACAAAAATTTAGAAAATGTACTGCTCATAATATTTTCAAGTATTTATGGTTTACTAGTTCGGAGCAGGCCTTTCGAATACTTTTATGTTCACTCCACAACCAACAACGATTAACATATTTTTTAGTTCGAGATATTACAGAAAAGAAAGAGGAATATACAATAAATAAATGGCTTAATCTCAAATAAAAATAACTCATTATTTTTTACTGTCCCGTATATATATATATATATATATATATATATATATATATATATATATATATATATGTGTGTGTGTGTGTGTGTATATATATATATGTATATATATATGTATATATATATATATATACGGAGTAATATACATAGTATAGGGAAAGTTATGTAATGCAGAAAAAGTTCATTCCCGGACCCTGATAACGAAAAAGTGAATAAATCCAGTTGCTAAATTAAAAAAAAAATCCCTTCGTGATGAAACAAGAATCCCTGTTTCGTGTGTCCTTGTTACCGAAATACCAATTGAAAGCAAAAAGTCCGTCCTTCAGTCTAAACACAACTTGCGCCTAAACCGTACGTACGATTTTTTCCAAAATGGATATTCCCCGGTCGATTAACCCACTCGAGGTGCTGCGATTTTGAAAAACTTTCCTCAAAATTTGGGGGTACTTTACACGAAGAACCCCGTACATTTTCTCAAAAACGATTCCAAATTTTTGTATTTAAATTTCTTGTAAGAATGGAGTAAAATAGACGTATAAGGTGGCACATGTCCAATTTTGACGGTTAACTCTGAATTTTTGAAAATTGCAAAAGTTTGAATTTTTTACGGCGTCTTCCTCAAACTATAAAGTTGACAATAGAGATTTTTACTTAAATTACAATTAATTTTCCATAGTGAATTCTTTCATTAAGTACATGTACATTTTTTGTATTCTAGTACTTTTCGCGCAATATTTCTAGCAATATGTACAATTTTAAAAAATTACAAAAACTAGATATTCCCAAAATCTGCCCCAAATTTTTTCTTCAAACTTGTGGTTGGGATAGTACTATATGCACTCTATACGATGCCATAAACGCCATATTGATCTATTGTTTTGTTTTTCAAAAATTACAAAAATGTATTTTTTTAAACTTTTCTCACGACGTTAGTATTTGCATTAAGACCAGTTTGTTCACATTAATCTAATTATGGGTACATGTGCTTTAAATAATGTCAGATAAAGTTTCTTAAAACTCAACCGTTTTCACTAAAACTAACTCAAAATTCTGCATTTTCAGAAAGTCTCAAACGCCATTTTTTCAAAAACTCTCCGAATTTTTTCTTCAAACCTTTTCGAACAGATAGAGCTAAAGGATGAGGTTTAACTGTTTTTTAATATTCTTCAAATAATGTTGCCGTCAAAAAATGTACTTTGGGCGGCGATCGATGGTGGCTGACTAGACCCAATAGCTGTTAGCCAAGGCCAAGACAAATAGAAAACGAATACGGAAACGTCTGTGCCATTGTGTAGCACCACTAGTTTAAATTGATGTAAAAATTGTAATTTTGGAATGTTTCCGTGAATTTTATAATTACCGTCAGTCACTCTTATTACACAGTTACGTATCGCCTTTTTACTTTCTTGCTCTTACTGCGTAAGAAAAAGTATTTTAATCGTGCGCGTCGAAAACGACGAAATTTGGAGAGAGAAAAAACTCCAGCCGGACCCTAGTAACGAAAAACTGGATAAATCTTGTTCCTGCATATAGTAAATCTCTTTCTCTAACACGTTTTGTAGTCAGAATATATGTTTCGTGGATCCTTGATTCCGAAAGATTGATTGACGGCAAAATTTGGATGTCCGTCCGTCTGTGACAAAAGTAGCGCCAATATCATTCAGCCTATTTTCTCAAAACTTTATATTCCTTAATCAATTTCTAGGAACTCTAGAGGCCTGCTGAGTTCGAATCTGATAATTAAATTTCAGATTCAAAATTTTCTCAAAAATGGCTCCAAATTTTGTATTAAAGTTTGACTTCGAATAGCATAAGGATGCTTTAGAGATTAGTGCAGGTCTCATTTTCCTTATCCCTGATATTTTTAAAATTACAAAAGTTCAAGTTTTGGCGGCTTGTAATGACTACAGTATTCAAGGTACAGATTTTTTCACGCCCAAGAAATACCGCCTTTCTCTGCTAGTTGGGGAAAAGGAGCGTGGTGAAATTTGCGTGGTCAGACGGAAAAGCGGACTTGATGGCCCGAGTCTCGCCACGTAAAATAAGGCATTACTTCAATTCAATCTATTCTTTAAAGGCAGATCTTGAGAAAGTAATGTGCAATTTTTCAAAAATAATAGTAGTTTTCGAGTAATTTGGTGTGAAATATTGGCAATTTTTGAAACTTTTTACAATTTTTTTGTCAAACCTTTGTTTAGTTTTTTTAGATAGAGAACTTTGTTTAGATAGAGATTTTTGTCTAAAACAAAATCTGTTTTGAAAAAGTGTGTGTGTGTGTCTATATATATATATATATATACACACACACACACACACTTTTAGAATAGGTCATGTAGTTTGTTTTTTAAAAAAGCTATTAGTTATCGCGTAATTTCCGCTTGAATATAATGCAACACATTTTCTCCTCATACGTTATTTTTTGATGTAATGGAATGCACTAAATGATTTTCGACATTATATACAAATAACCAATTAGTACAGTTTCAATAAAGCAATTCACTCTTTTTTATCCAACTTTCATATTCATCGGAATCAAATTCTTATATTTCTCGAAACGTTACTGAAAACTGACCATGGCGTTATTAGCTTTCTTGAGAATTTCCGCTGAAACTTCACAGTATTCTTTTGTACGAACAAATCAGTCAAACTACTATTATGCAATAGTAATTTAGATATGACTCCATATTGACAACTAACAATTGAAGTGATTCTTTTCACTTTTGACGCAATGCAAATGTAAAAATGGTCTGAATTCTACTTTATGTCAGCACTGAACTAGCAAACCATAAAGTTTTGTATTCACCAAGTAACATTACATGGTGTTTTTGCCCTTGGGCCAGAAGCCGTCGGGATTGGAAGTCACCCTCTGGGCAAAAACATCTGCTTACCGCTCTACATTCGTAAATAAGCATTTTAAATGTGAAGGAAAAGATATAAAGTCTTTGACCACCTCTTCTAAAATGATAGTTTGTGCAAGTAAGATTTTTGGTATTAATTATTTTGATTGGAATTAATAGAAATGTTGTTTGAGTGATCCATGTTAATTCATGTTTCCTAATAATGGTGAAAAGTAATTTTTTGTACCCTTATAACTGCTTGGTGATGTGATATGATTGGTAGACATTCTAGACCTGAGTATTATCTCGTTGAATTTTAAATTTCTGAATTCAACTTTATAAGTGGTGCTCTGTCGTTCATCCTGCCCAGTGAAAAATGTAAAATGGCAGTTCCACATTTTAAATTCTGTATATTCAAGAAACTAGCTACGTCATTCAAAGTTTGTGCAAGAAACATTTCATTAAAGAATGGAAAATATAATGTTGCAGTCACTGTAAACAAGTACATTTAAGCAATTTCACTGAGAGATGATTGAAATAAATATTCAGTATTTGATAAAATATTATTAAAATGGCCCTAGTTGGTTATTTTAGATAAAATTCCTCTTGTGGAAAATTAAGAATGAGTGTGAATGTCTGGTCTTCTAAGAATGAAGCCAAAAACTAGAAATTTTGCAATGCCGCTTGCTGCTTTGTAATGTAGTTACTGCATTAACATTTACCCCCGTGATTTCTTCTTTTACTGGAACGTCTCGCAAGAGAAATTCTCTCATTCTTCACTGTCGCCTCATTAATGTCTGTAATCTTAATCATTATTGCTAGTATTGTCTTAAAACACTTATGCATGCGAAATATTTGTATTACTAACTACAGTAGATTCTTTGCATAAATTAATTATGGGTCCTCATAGAGGTTTATAGATCATGAGGTCTGCCTCGAAGTTTTCAGTGGGTTTCTAAAAAACGCAGGCCATATCTTTTACGGGGTCTTTCTTTTGCTAAAAGTTTTCCGTGTCAGATTTGTGACCATCCGCTACGACCATATGGTATAAATGACTGTTGAGGCTCATAATGTGATGGCTGTGAAGACTTAGTTTTTATGGATGCTCTCTCTGATAACATTAAACAATTGTGCCTGCAGTGGTTGGAGGCACTGGGGGAGCATGTGCTGGAACCGTGGCACCAGCACTGCAGCGACCAGTGGAGCCTCTGTTCGTGAGTGTACCTCCCCGACCCCAGAGACTATTACATTCAGAGGCATATATAAGGTGAGCTGATTTCATATTCCCTTTTCCAATTGGAATCATACGAAAGTAATTTCGAATAAAATGTGTAACAGTTATTAAATTTTCAATATAGTAATAAAATTTCAGCTTGTTTCTGTGCTCTTCATACCAAATGCAATCTTTAATTAAACTAATGTGAATCCATACTATGTTGAAGAGAAAGTTGATCACTTCAATGAATTAAATGCATTATTCGACTGTATTATTTGTTTAGAGAGTTATGTCTGTGTTACAGTTTGATCAATTTAGTTCAATTCGCATCATTGTTTTTATTGGAGATTGTATTATTTCGAATTAGAGTGAGCTGGCACGGGCGTCGCTGGAGGGGAAGTGACACGTCAACCCAATTTTTTTAATTTACATGCAGTAGTTTAATTCTAAGTTCATGTCTTACTGAAGACACTTTCAAAATAACATAAAGATAATTATTCGTTCAATAACTTGTAAATCGAAAGACTGTGAGCCGTTCTTCATGACTCAAAAGTTAAAACTTCGTGGGAAAAGGATGTTGAGAAAATGCTTCCGAACTAGCGGGTAGAGGTAGGAATTCTCCGCAAGCCTGCATGACCAACTAGCACAACACTTGCTACCTCCACTGGTCTAACAACCGCCGCCCTCGACTTCCGTGCTGCCGTCTTTTATAAATTTATCAGAGTTCATTATTGAAGTCTCGAAGAGCTGTGGCCTAACTTGATGGTTTTTAATCTATCGCGAGCATCGTGTTAACGTTAAATCTATACCAATGTTGCCGTTGCTTTAACTAATGTTTCGGGAAATTTCTACTGCTTTTGATGCCATTTCCAAAAAATAATAAATTTACGTGCCAGAGATATCCAAGAGAGCTAGTAGTTTTTGTATGTGTATGTATAATTCTAGCAAATTAAAAAGTCCCGTTGCTTTGCTTCTGCTTGCAAATATGGTTACATGTCAAGAAGCAAGAAATTTGTTACATCGTCCAAACACAAGAAAACCCTTTTGAAGTGGCGCAATGATGTACTCTAAAAACGTCGGGAGACAAAAAAAGTGCAATTTTGATGCTTATTTCTGCAATGATGGCGCATAATGAAATGCCAATTTTTTTAAGAATAAATAAAAAAAACTATCTGAGTGCAAAATTGTCAAATTGATCAAAAAAAAAAAACGTCACTCAGCATTTTATTGCGAGATGCTGCCAGTAAAATATTTTGGGGTGTTAATTCATTTATTTTTTTTAGTTTTCATAATTAAGTTAGCAACTAAGATTTGTGAATCATGAAATGCAATTTATGTAGATAAACAAATGTTGGTAAATATAGCCATAATCTTCTTATTTCCTACATTTATCTACTTGATTGATCTTTTAAATGTAATATATTATGACTTATTGTGAAAAAAACCAATATTAAATGTTCTTGAGTTTCATTCGATACTAAAACTCTTGATATACTCGATCTTTGCATAGTGATTGTATGTACATAAATATTTTAGTGGGTGTATTTAGATTATTTATCATTAACATAAAAGGCAACAAGCTAAACAACGTAAATAAATTAACAAAATCCTTCAAAAATAAGGCTATAAGAAGAGTTTTAAGCATTCATTCCCTGCCATCGTGATGTAAAGTAATATTATCCTACTTTTTGTGAAATCATAGGTGTCAAAGCGAGCATAGCGTTTGCGACGGCGGAACCACAGTACTAGGCCGAGCGCTCGCACTTTCCCTTCTACACGCAATGGTGTAACTATAATTTTTAATTGAGGTGAATGCATTCAGCGTGAGATTAATATTAATATCTCGTTTACTTTGTGTGTAATGGAGGAAATTGCATTATGTCTTTTCCCTATTCTAATACTTTAATTATAATTCTTTGCCAAGTGACGTTAAATATATTGGTCTTGATTGTAACTCGCATCCGGCATTTGGAAATCCAGACTCGCGTCGTAGTCACTTGGCCAACGCGCGGAATGCCTTCGGCAACCCTTTCAATTTTCGCGACCCTCCAATTGTCGTGTGTGCAGTAGTCTTCGTCGGGGGGGGGGGGGGGGTAGGCTTACTTTAGTTGGAGGAAGAAGAAAGCTCATATTCTGACCTTCGGCTGTAATTCATTGTAGTTGCATTCAGGGGAGAACTAAGGTCCGTTAAAGAAGATATGCTTTGACAGTGTCGACGGGAAATTAACGTGTCTTCCTGATGGAATGCAATCGCAGGCTTTCGCGGCCAGTCGTGAAGGCTCTCTGCTGTCCGGGCGAAGCCGCGTCGAGGGAGTGCTGCTAACTAACAGACTTCTTGGTGGAGGTTAACTTCAGTACTAAATCATTTCAAAGGTGTCAGATAAAGTTTTAAGAAAAAAATCGATAATGAAAGTTTCCATCACGTATTTATTAATATTTCATTCAATTCATATTTTTTATTCATTTTATTAAGGTTTTCTTATTTTCTAATATGCTGGTTTTAAGCTTCCGGGTAAAACGGCGCTGTGGAAAAGAATGTATATAGCATTAGTTTTTTTAATTAAAAAATATTAGAAACCATAAATAACGAAGAGTTTGAGTCACAGTTTCCAAATTGATTTCTAGAGCGTTCTGGATAGAATCGCAGAAACCTACTTTTGTTGACAATGCTCATGACTCGTCCTGCCTCTCCTCGCTCCGACCCGCATCGCTCAGCTTGAAAGGATTTTGGTCTCCGATCCTCCACCTGACCGTCATGTGTATTGAATGAGAGATTTTTCAGTTCATAACGTGACCCTCACCTCTATCTTTGCTGGCCTGCCACGCATTTGTCTTAACAGCTAGCAATATATGGTTGCCGGAGCAAATTACAATATCCCATGCTTTCAGATACGGGTTCAAAGATAAACTTCAGACCTGATTCAACTTTAAAATTTAAGCTGATTTTTATTTTAAAAAGAAACTATACTCGTTTGTGTGTATGTTGGACAACACTGAAATACGTAAACTGTAATGTGTGAATAATAAAATTAGAAAATGTATTGTTTGATTAAAGAAGGCAATATTTTTGACATCTTTGTGATGTATTCGTTCAGATAAATAAGAACTGTCAATCTTGTTCATAAAATTTACTACTTTTCATTTTGTTTTAACAGGTATATTGAAGGTTTGCAGGCTGAAAATAAACATATTAGTCCTTGGGAAAAGCATCTAAAAGCAACCCAAGAGAACACAGCTATCCCTGACATCAGTCGTCTTCCTGCAGAATGGCTGGGTAATGGAGTTGGAAACCATGGCAATATTGTCAATGCTTTGTGGACACTGAGGGACTTTATGATGAGAGATGCACTGGGTATTAATAAAGTATTGTAATTAAATTAAAGTTGATTGTTGATATTGACATGAGTCTGTGAGTGAAGGTCTTTTTCTATTTTTAACGGTACATGGAAAATGTGAATGTTTTAACGAGAAGACGTGTTTGTAGGCAAATGTATCTAAATCTTTTCGTTTTGTACAAGCTGTACGTATGTTCCTTGACATTATGAAAACATTAAACAATAAAAGTTATCATAAATTACATAATGCAAAAAAGTTGTTCAGCAGAAATGCATATTGTGCTGCCTCTCTTCCAATCACTTTCCCTAGTCTTACATCTAACTTTACAGGTTCCCATGCCAAATACGTTTTCAGGGTGACCAGTGAACTTGGAATCCCTGAAAATGGGGAAAAACGGGGATTAGAAAAAGCCTAGAAGAACTGAGGAAAAACGCAGGTATAAAAGTTTCATTCAAATCACAGAATTCCCTCAAAAAAATGCTGTCCCCCAAAAAACACACAGATCTTCTAGAAAAAAGCGGCGTCTATTCTCTAAATTGCCACGACTGCGAAGCCAAATATAATGGTCAAACAGGCAGAACTTTCAATACCAGAATCAAGGAACACATACATGCTTGGAAACACAACACCTGTAAATCTCACTTTGCCAATCATTTACTCCAGACAGGCCATACATTCAATCCACACACAGACATTCGTATACTGGAAATAGAAAACCACTACCACACCAGACTAACTTTAGAAAACCTACACATTCATTTAAATAATAACTTATTAAATGAAAACATAAACAATAGTCCTTCTCCTTTACTAAAATTACTATTAGACACCACTCCCACACCGCACCCCGCCGGGGCGGCACAGTGACAGCGCACCGCACCCAGGCCGTTGCCCTCCACCCCACGGCCGGGTACTTAAGCCCCTCGGCTCACCCGACCCCGTGTAGAATAGTCGGGGTTATAGTCGTTTTGTGGCTTCCATCTAGCAGGTAAGGAACGGCTCAACTTACATTTATATGTTTTTCTTAATTAAAAATAATTTGTACGTGTCCTATTTCTATTTTCATTCGCTTTTCTTTAGTATTAATGGCTTAATCCCCCCCCCACTTTTTCTTTCTCCCGTTGTCAAATATATTTTCCAAAAATTTGTAAATTATTTGTAACCTTTATCATAATCTTGTTGTTAATTCACGTTTTAATGTTTTTTTTTTCTTCTTGTATCAGACAACTGATGATGATGGCTAAGCCATCGAAAGCTGCATTAAAAAATATTGTTGACAATGACAACATCTTTAATTATTTTAAAAATGCCAAAGATATCTTACCACAACACCTATAAACCCTCATAACTTCTAAACGGTTCCCGATATCGGCTTACATTTTAGCTGAACTATGCGGAATCATGCGGCAAGTAATATAGTGTAGAGATATTGTTTGAAATTTTTTTTAGTTTGTGACACATTTAATCACCTTTGATTTTTAAATAGAATCAAGTATTTTTCTCACTTGCAATAGATAGATCTTAAAAAGAGGAATGCAACGATGTAACATTGCTAATATTTTTAATTGTTTTTTGTGCATGAATAAATTACTACTTTATGAAATGGAGATTTTAAATTAATTACCGTGCGATTTGTTCTGTTTGGCTGCCGTTCCGCAACTGTCGCTTTTGGTCGAACGTGACTTCCGCTGCCTGCTCTTCCCCGTAAAAGTGCCCCGCCCCACGAAGGCACCTTCCCAAAAGGAGACAGTTTGAAGGGTTGTATATCTTACGTTGACCAATCTTTATAATTCAGTTCTCAATTTATTAAAAATCTCATTGGCCGGAAAGTATAATTTTTCTTCTCAAACATCTATCAAAGCATTAACATGTGTTACATCATTGATTCGTCTATTTATGATCTATCTTAATTGCTGGGGGAGTATAAATACTTAGTGTTCATTAAAAAAAATTTAAAGATGATTAACTTGCTTTGACGGTAGAGACCTAAAACCCCCCATCATTTTTTTGGAAAGAATGTATTTCCTTTTAAAAAGCATATCACTTGCCTCTTGATTTCAGCATTTGTTGTGCGAAAGACTTACATGTGTCAATTATCGTGAACTCGTGTTAGACGTTATGGGGGATGGCTTCCGTAGTTGGCGAGAGCTCCTGTTAATGAAGCAGATAACAAATAAAAAGCGAATAATGTACGTTTATGCATCCCCTGGCAAATAAATAAGGTTCTTAATTTTAGTTTAAATTTTGAATATACTTTCTGCCCCACACAACAAGGTTGAACTTTCTTAATGGAACAACATTGGAAATGGATATCGAGTTCGCTAAGCATTCTTCTTGAGCGGTGAATGCCATTCCTGTAATGCACTTTTCTTGTCTTCCTGTTGATGTGTTGATTTTTTTTTTATTTTATGGCGCTTTTCCTGTCAGTTCTGGCGGTTCACACGAGGATAAAAATCATTAAATTTTGTGTTAAAAGTAAAAATAGGAGAGCAATACATTAAAGATTTTCATTTTTTTTTTTTTTTTTTTTTTTTTCTTCTCTGAATTAGCCCTATGCATCGCTGAACGCCGGGCGCTATTTGGGATCGCTTTCTCCGAACACTTGCCTGACTGATAGGAATTCTTGTCAACCAGTATCTGTGTACCCAGGTATTAATTAGGCGACATCTAATACTTACTCACGATAGTGCTTTTTTTCGTGTGTTGGGAGTCGTCCGATATGCATTCAATAGTTCGAGGAGCGCTGCAGAACAGTCTTAACACTGGCCCGCGAAAAAAAAATTTAGGCATGCCTTTTTCATTCTTATATTGCACCAAATATTGTATACATGATTTCCTCAAATGTATGGTTGTTGTTATTATTATTATTTGTTCATTTTATGTCTAAGAAGTTGGCTTTGCATTATTACAGGATTAATGAGACAGCATTTACGAAAGAATACTGAAGCGTATTCTCATGTTGCTTGACGATGTTATCCTATGAATACCTGCCTCGGCGTTTGGGTGCGAAAACAGTATTCGATTGTTCCTTTTCAGGAACTAATACGAATGACTGAAACGGATGCACCGACAATGCTCGAGCGTTATCTCCGAAGCATCAAATGTCAATTCTACTGAAATAAATTGGCAAAATGTTCTTATATTGCGAAGAATCGGCGAATTTGAGGGGTCTAGTTTCAAAACGCAACTTCTTCAACGCAAGGTGCCAAAAATTTAGATAACTATCTTCAATAGGCTCTGTTGCAATTACGCGCCGTTTTTATATTAAATGATTTTCGTAAACAAAAACGCGTTTTTTGTATCACTTAGAGGGCTCCCTGAAGATTATGGAAAGATCACGTTCTATTGATAATTATGGTGTTCATCATCAGAACGCGAGCTTTCCATAAATCTTCATTCGTTTGCAAGTTACGATCTTATCACAATCCAGAGACATGATCATTCTGTAGAAATCAAACTGGCCTAAGGATTGATTTAAGCTGATACTGAAAATGATTAGTGTCACTGGATGAACGTCAGCAGGTTTACGGCTCTGCTCGATCTTCATTTTGATAAAAAAATTGGTCATTTTCTCTTCATAATAATATCTGGAAATAGCAATGAAATAATTAACACTATTGTAAAAAATACTATATTGAAAAAAGTTTTTGTTCACCATTAGTAAATACTTACAAATTTAAATTTCAAATTAGACTTTTTTTAAAATTCTGTAGCTCAAGCTTTCTTCTAATGACTAGCGACATTTCTGGCATTATCTTATTCTACGTTTTGACTTTCACTAGCCAAGGGGAATTAATCCCAACATTTAGCAGCAGAATGTTTTACAACCACGAATGATATCACTTTTTTGTTTTTCTCAAAACAGACTGGAATGGAAAAGTCCATTTTCAAACTAAGGACCCCTGAATTAATTGTTATCGGCCAACATTTAATATTAACATGTTTTGAATTAGTTCCACGTGATGTTGGGGACTTTTTGCTTAGTTTTCAAATTAAAATATTTTGATAATGTTTTGTGTTTTTTGGTCCGCTCATGACTGGCTAAAATCGCTTTTAGAATCTCCAAAACGTTATGGAGGTCAAACTCCGCTGCGATAGCTAAATCCG